CGAGTGATTGCGTCAGACGAGGCTACACAACGAGTGATTGCGTCAGACGAGGCTACGCAACACGTGATTACGTCAGACGTCGGTGACAAGCTTTGCGGTAGTAAAAAGGAAGTGAAACTTGCTAACTAGCAGAGGCTAATCATCTCGGGACAATGGAGCGATTTAACGGCTTAACGGCTAATTTAACGTGTCTTTCGCAAATTAAAGAGAAAAATGTTCTTGTCTCTTCGTCAGTCCACACGTACCTGTTGTTGTTGTTCGCAGCCATGTTTTCGCGTGTTTATGATAACATCCGGGACGAGGCAGGAAAGCAGAAACAGCTGAACGTCATGTGAGGTAAATATGCGCTACGTCAGAATTTATTCGGCAAAAGTGTTTCCAGCTCCCGTTTTGCGCATTAACTACTTTGTGAATCATTCAAAAACCACCTCAAGCGAGCGTAAAAACTTTTTAGTGAATTGAGGAATTTTTTTTTTCGAATTTTGCTGTTTCCATCTGACTTTTTTTGCATTTTTAATGCGACACTTCTAAATGCGCATCAAAAAGCTTTGATGGAAACACGGTTGATAACTAATAAATGTTTTTTTTTTCTTTCTTCTCTTATTTCTGTATTACTGTTGGATGTTGTTTTGTTTTTACTGTTTGATGGGACTACAGATGTAAATTAGACTTAGGCTAAATCTGGTGAAATGCATTAAATTATGTTTTAATTGCACACTGTCCCGAATTTAAAAAAAATTTAATGATTGTAGAGAAGAATCAGATGCTGCTGTAGATTTGAAGTCACTATCAGAGAGATGAGGAAGAGTGAAATTTCAAATATTGTTTCAATAAAAAAAGACCAGAGAGTTCTCTTTCTTGAAGAGTTCCCCTTTGATGTCACTTCCTGTTTCATTTTGGCTGAGCCAAGTTCACAAGAAGATATGCCAGTTATGTGACAAAATGGGTTAAATCAAGTGTCTTAAATATGAAGATGTTTTCTTTTAACTTTTGTATTTGAAGGTTAAGCATGTCACGGGCACTTTAACATCRGTCTGTTCTCATTCAGGACCTGAGGTGACCAGTTTTGGAGGAAATGTTGTCCCACCCTGGTCTGATAGAAGATTCTAGTTGTTCTGTAGTCCTGGATTGAACAGATGTTCTAAAATCAATAGTTTTCTGCATTGATAGAGCCTTTCCAGATGTTTATGCTGCCTGAGGCACTAATGAACCCCCATACCATCAGGGAGGCAGATTTTCTTAACATGTGTGCTATTGGGTCTTTCCTGTCTTCGGTACAAAAGATGTGGTGCCAGTTTGTCTTGGCCCATTTTAAACTTTAGTTTAATCTTAAGTTTAGAGAAGACGGCGGCGGTTCTGGAAGGTGCTCACGTGTGTGTCTTTCTTTGCCTGATAGAGCTTTAAGCAGCATTAGTAGCTGGTACATTGATCTGTGTTCATTCCTGAGTCCACGCACTGCTGATCAGAACAGAACCAGACCAGTTTTAAAGCCTTTTGTTGCTCCTGGAACAACTTTTCATAGATGAGCCGTTAAGCTCAAAATTACCTTATTTTTTCAACAAACACATAAATTTCTTAGTTTTCTACATTAACTGTGTTTATTTATAATAAAAGAAGAGTTTCTGAATCAGTAGTCAGTTTTATGGACATATTTTACACAACATCTCCACTTTTTCCATACCTGGGGTCTCATTTATAAAGGATTGCATGGAAACCATACTAAAAGTGAACGTACGGCCAAAAGGCGGAAATGGCG